TCTAAAGCTCAAGAGCCCCAGGGATTTAAAAGAAGGTAGTTTTTAAGAGAATTTTATAAGAGTTAAATAGAAATAAAATAAGATAGCCAAAATAGCTAATTATTTTAGTACTTAGTAAGATTAAATACTTTTCCTATTTATATAACCGAATTACAGGTAATATAACTAATAGATATTCCTTTCTTTAATATAATATAATTAGACCTTAATAAGATTAAGTATTTTTCCTGCCTATATAACTAAATTATAGATAATAGAATTAATAGTTATTTTCTCTTTAACTAGAATAATAGCTTTGCCCCTAAGTAACTAAATCTTAGGCAAGTATAGCTTAATTCTTCCTAATCTATATATATAAACTAATTAGTATTAGTTTACTAGTAATATATAATACTATTATATAAGTATAGAAATACTATTTATATAAGGTTAGTAAAGTTATTCTTTAGAAGTAGGGATTATAGTATTATAGTATTAATATGCGATCCCTAAATCTGCTAAGCCTAAAAGGGTCTAGTCTACTAGTTAAGTTACTAATGAGACGCGAGGTTATATAACTATATCCCGTATCCCATATTCTATTACTTATATCTTATTACCTATATTTTATATCCCGTATCCCGTAACTATATATATAACTTTCAAAGAAATAGCTATACTAATAGTTATTTATTAAAACCTTATAAGGAAATAGGGATTTAAGTTTATATAAAAGTATTTATAATACTTTTATTAAAAGATAAATATGTTTTTAGTTAATTAGAATATATATATTTATTCTAGTATTTACTAAATACTAGAAGATTATAGTTTTGCCTTTCTAGTATATTTTATATTTAATAAAAAACTGGTTTTTACTAATTAATTAAATAAGATCTATAGGTCTTTAATAGAATTCTTATTCTAGAAAGGCTATTTTTATATCTAGAACTAGGCTTTTCTTAACTTATTAATATTATACTTTTTATTAAATAGTAAATAGAAATTAGTATTATTATTTATTTTTAAATAATTAGCTTTCTCTAAATAATTCTCTTTAATAAATATAATCTTATTAATATTAGAATAGGCTTTATTTATATATCCAGGCTTTCTATAAATATAATAATAGAGATTTTTAGGCTAATTTAATTTCTTTTTAAATTTTTAGTAAATTATCTCTTTTAGTTATAAAAATACTAGCTATTATAGTTAATTTATTAAATATGAAATTATAATAGCTTCTTAATTTCTGGCAGGCTTTCTAATTCGAGATAGTATTTAATAACAAATAGTTTCTATTAATTATTTCTTCTAGAATTATTAGTTCTTAATTAAAAGAAGCCTATTTTCTTATTTTATATATTACTTAATAAGATTTCTAAATAAGTTAAACTTCTTATTATTTAAGCTTTTAAATAGTTCGAGATTTATCTTATTTATTAAATTATTATATTAATTATCTAGTAATTTCCCTAGTTTTATTATTAAGTAAATAAATTCTATTTAGAATACTAGAAATAGCTTATTTCTTTATCTCAGGTACTAATATATCTTTTTTATTTCCTAGTATTTTATCTCTTTACTTTTATAATAAGCTTTTTAGAGAATCTTAAAAATCTATTTAATAATTAAAATCTATTTAACTAATTCAGGTTCTAGTTAATAATAAATAAAGTTATAGGTATTTCCGGTAATTAATTATATTATATAAATAATTTTTAATAGTTTATTATTAAATTCAGAAAAGTTTTATATTAATTTATTTCTTATATTAAATATCTAATTATTAATTTAATAATTATTTTTGCCTATAAATAGAATAGAATTCTTAATTCTAATAAGCTATAATTAATTACTATAGACTAAAAGTAGAAAAGAGCCCTAATATTAGCTTTTATATAGTTCTTCTAATAGGGACCTATAGTATTCCTAAATATCTACTTACTTGGATTTTTATTTTATAGCTTTTTCTTATATTAGTCTTTTTTTTATATAAAATTAACTAGTAATTACCTTTAGATTATTAACTTTCTTAGTAAATTAGTTAATATATAAATAGAATTTCTAGTAGTATTTCACTTATTTATTAGCTATAAAATAGTATTTATTAATAAGGTTATTTTATATAAGTAATTTCTACTAGGCTTTATTTATTTTTAAGGCATTTATACCGATTTTGAATTTCAAGTTAGCTAGCTATTTCTTAATATTCTTTTCCGGAATAGTATTATAATATCTTTTCCGGTAATATAAATTTATAATATTAAAATCCGGCTTCTTTATTTTATTATTCTAGGGCCTCTTATCTAATATACTTATAATAGTAGTATTTGATTTTAGGCTATCTATAATAGCTTTAGAAGATATATTAGCTATAGAAATAAATATTAAATAGATTCTTCTTATTTAATATTAGTAAATTATAACTAATTATTACCTTATCTAATTTTAAATTAATAGACTAAAACCGACTATTTTCTTTCTTATTTTAAATTAATAAATCATAACTAATTCTTTTTATATTAAAAAAGAAAGCCGGTTCTTTTACTTTTATTAGTATTAAAAAAATATTATTTACTCTAGTTAAGAACCAAATTCCGAGATTAATTAGATTATAGAGAATAGTATTTTTCTTTTTTTATATTAGTAAAGAACTAATTACTAGAAAGGAAGTATTATTTGCTCTAGTTAAGAGCCAGACTCTGGGATTAACTAAATTATAAAGAATATTATATTTCTAGCTAAGCTCTTTAGTTCTTTATAGTTTAAGAAGATTATTAAATATTAAAAGTAGTATTCTAATTTTGCTTTCTAAAAACAAATATAGGTTCTTTACTAATAGTATTATATTGCCTCTATAGGCCGAGTTAAATAAGCTTAGTATTATATAATAGTAGAATTAATATAATAGTTAAAGGCTTAAAGTTTAAAGAATCTTATATATTAGAAAATATTAAGCCATAGAATAAAATAGAGAAAATGCCTTAACCTTTAGTATTATTTTACTCAAATAATTCCGGCTTAGCTTTGTTTTATACCTGTTTCTAATATCCTATCCTTAGTAAATTATACTTTTATACTAGGTATTATAATATTACTTAAATTAAAAAAAGAAAGCAATTATAAAATAACTTACTTTAATTAATATAATCTTGCTTTATTTTAGTTAAGAGCCTTTTATTTATTAAAAGCTTATATTACTTAATAATTATATATTTATAAAGAAATATATAAATAATAAATATATAAATAATAAATATATAAATAATAAATATATAAATAATAAATATATAAATAATAAATATATAAATAATATATATAAATAATAAATATATAAATAATAAATATATAAATAATAAATATATAAATAATAAATATATAAATAATAAATATATAAATAATAAATATAATAATTCGATTTATAAAAGTACTATTAAAGTATTTAGCTATTATAAAGGCTTAAAAAAAGTTTTATATTAAATTAATTAAAGTAAAAAGATTATATAATAAAATATAAATATAATATATTAGTAATATAGCTAAAATCTCTTAAGTTAAGGCATTAAATGCAGCGCTGCTATTTATTGACCTTTCCTATTCATGGGGCAACCCGATATTGCCTTTCCCAGAGCAGGCACCCCTTGCCGAGATTATCTATGAGAGTACGGGAGGAATTAAGGTCAAATAGCATGCATTCTTTGTGAAACACAACCTTCTAGATGCACTCGAGCTTTTACAAAGTCTGCCTTCCACCGAAACAGCACAGTATTTTGGATTGACGCACAATGCATCTATCTCGATCAACACTGAGCGAAATACCGCGAAAAAACGAGGTTTTCGCCTCGACTTTGTGAGGGTGTTCGTTCGTGTGCGTTTCGATTATTCTAGTATACATCGCCGCCTTAAGCTCTTCTGAACCAGCCTAGGAGCCCCCGGGTAGTATGTCACCTTCTTATAAGCAGCCACTGCCAATCAATTTTCTATTGCCAAAAATTATCCCTCACCACCATGGCACCTCCTTCGATGAATGAGATAAACTTCAAGCACAGCTTCTGCAGGAAGACGAGGGCTGTATATAGTAGAGCTGGCTTGGGAAACGCCCTTGGACGGTATATTTATTAAAGCTGACAAACTTGACAAGGCCTGTGGTGTCTGGCTGTTACAAAGCGCTGAATACTGGTATAGTGCCGTTTGTCTCGGCTAAGCCCCTTTAGTAATTGTGGCGTAGTTCTTCAATAAATGTCCTCTGCGGCAATACGTAGTTACACCTGCTGATTTGGAAACGAACCGTTTCTTACTGGCTGCAATTTACTTCCAATAAGCTGTTACCTTGAGTGGCTGATACAGCACATTACCAGGCAGCAACAAAGCATTATCCTGCGCAATTGAGAGCAGTGCAATTCTCATCTGTACATATCAAATAACGACTTTGATTGTCGACTCAACCGATTGTTCTTTTAATGATATAATGCTTTGCGACGTCTGCAAGTCGGTCGACTTTGGCGGACTCTGCTTCCGAGCATCTCAGCTGGATCCGCCCTCTATTTACGACAGCTATATTATCGAGAGGGTCCCTCACCACACTTACGCAGGCTTAAAAGCAGCAGCTAGCAGAGGCTGTAAGCTATATATTGAGATACTTAAAGGAGCAGGCCTGTGGGGCGATCAAAGTTCCCGATTTGAGTCGCAAAATCCAGCTATTAATTATAGGGCTTACGGTATTTCAAACTACGTAACTACGGATAGCAAGAATGCTTTCGGAGAAGTTGCACAGATTTTATTCTACGGAGGCCTGCAACCTTACGACCCAAGATTCTATTTCACATCTTCGGTTCGCATATTTTGTAAATACGGTAAGATATAATCATTTATCCCTGCCTAGCCCTAATTGAAGTTCTCGTTATTGACTTGATAATCGAAATAAGACTCTCCTGCAGCCCAGGCGAACATTGTCGGAGGGAGAAGTTGGGAGCTATCTGGCGTTGAGTTATTATTGAGAATAAAGTGCGGGATATATTACCACTGCTATAAATCTGACCTCTGGGGTGCGTGAATTAAAGTATACTGAGCTTCCCTGTACGGTCAAAGATGCCATCTCCGTTACTAGAGGCATGGGCTTTAAGTGCCTATGGGTGGACTCTATTTGCATACTTCAAGGCTCTAATGCCGAAGCTCAAGCAGACTGGTTAGCCGAATCAAGCTGCATGAGAGACTATTATAAGGACTGCACAATCTGTATTGCTACTGACAATGCGTCCTCAGATGCAGAAGGATTTCTTAATACAAAAAGGCTTGCGGAGACGAGAATATCGATTTCCACTAACCTGTTCGAGACGGAAACTGAAAAGCCGAGTATAATCTTTCATGGAACGAATATCGCTTGTCAGGCCTCTACTGCAAGGCAACTGGGGTCCGGCCCAGTTTTAAGTTCTCGAGATTGGATGCTTTAAGAGGAAGCGCTGTTTCCGCAGACTTTATATTATACTTCGATACAACTAGTTTGGGAGTATTAACGGCAGGTTATCTATAAGTCCGATATGAATCCAGAAATATGGCCACCGAATAGCGGCTTTTACAAAAACCCGAAAAGATATTTTCTAAATCCAAGCTTTGGGAGAAGTCATATCCTGGGCACAAGATTTCCCACGTATATTAGAAGTCTTGGGCATGGACTCCGATGGACAAGCTTGCTTATCAATTATACAAAGCGGTCTTTGACCTTCCAAACCGATCGGCTGATTGCGATTTCAGGTCTTGCTCAAGGAATTCAGGCCCAATCTGGATATACTTATTGGGCCGGAATCTGGGCTGAAGACGTATATTTGGAACTCTCGTGGAAGATGCGTGGCTTAGGTCAAACTCCAGAGACATATATTGCTCCCTCGTGGAGTTGGGCTGCTTTGGAATTTTGTGCAGAAACCGATCTTTATTATCTTTACCATCTGTAAGCAGAAATTGACGAAATCCAAATTTAGAGCGGAAATATTAGGTTGTGAAGTTGTAACCATGCACGGAGGTCCTTATGGGTCTGTGAGCTCAGGGCATCTTTGTCTTTGCAGCCTCTGGCTTGACTTGAAGCAGTGGGAGAGCGGAAAAGATATACAAATCGGATTTTCCGTAACCGAGACCTACTTGGGACTGGAGGCATACTTTGGCTTAGGGTCAGAATTTGAAGACTCCGACGCAGAGGGTCATGACTCAGAGCATTCAGATTCAGATAAGGATTGTTTAGACCTGAAAGAAGAGGATTCAGATTTGGGCAAGCATTCGGATTTGGAGAATACAGGACTAGACAGTCTACAGGCCCTAGACTTGGACCTAGAAGACCAGGAATCTGACCAACAAGCCATGCAACGGGCCATGCAATAGCGCGAATTAGAGGGCTCAAATAAAGACCAATAAAGATTATAACAGTTCGATAACAAGCGTTCCAAGGCGAAGGATTCAGGTTTGGAGCACCAAGCGCTGCAAGATCCACCCTTAGACAATTCAAACCCCGATTATTTGCCTTTGCACTACTCTGACCAAGAGCGTTCAAGTTCAGAGGACCCGGACATTGATCTATCAGACTCAGACCGGGAAATTTCAGATACAGGACGCTCAGCATCCCAATACGGCTCATCCGAGGGTTCGGGTCCGGAAGCTTCGCACCTGTCTGCCGCGATAGAATGGTATAATAAGACAAGGAAGCTTTGCTTCAAGATCGGGCAGTTACTAGTTAATCTCGATCAGAAGTCATACAGGCTCCAGAAACTTCAAACAAGTAATATTGGGATGTTACAGCTTGCTACCGTTCGAGAAGCGGAAAGTCAGAAAAGCTATACATGGCGTGTAATATTCTGTCTCCTTCTTCAGCCTGGGACCGAAGAGGGGACATTTAGGCGAGTCAGCCTGGTAGAGGTCCCAGACCTTCCTGGCTTTGCTTTAATACCGTGGGCAATGCAAGAAGTTACGATTGTTTGAAGGATCTTCTGTCGCGGGTTGTCCCTTTTGAATATTTTACGATCCTCTAGAAATAGTTCTAACGCTTTTATGATGTCAAGCAGTGAGAGCTTGAAATTCAAATATTACTTTCGGTATTAAGTCGTGATAATATGGCATTTCTTGAAATCCCTTGAATAGCGTTCTTAAATTATTAGTCTTATATACCACTGATTAGTGCCGCTCAGCCAAGGCTCCTACGTGACTTGCGTCATGTGATTCTCTGCCATATTACAGCGGTCGACTTCTAGTAAGCGAGCCGATAACCGAAGTCCCGCGCCAAAACACGTCCCGCACCAAAACACGCGTATAATAAAAATATTTTAACTTATTAAAACACAACCACCTTATATAAAAGTCTAATTTTTTATATATAAGATCTCCTTAGTATATAAACCTTACTTTTAATAATATATAGTAAAAATACTTAATATTTATTAATATAATAAACCTTTAATAATTATATTAAATTCTATAAAATTTTAATATAAGTTTTATATTATATATTATTATAAGTTAAAACTATTATAAAATTACTATCTTATTATAATAGTTTCAGTAAATATATTAATATTTTATATAATTTTATCTTTTAAAGTATAATTATTAGTTAAAGATTAAATATTTAAAATTTCTTAACTCTTACTTTTAACTTTAAATAAAGAATACTTACTTTATATAATAATCTGAATTTTTATATATAAGATTTCTTTTATATATTAAACTTACTTTTAATAATATTTAATAAGAATACTTATTATTTTATAATATAATAAGCTTTTAATAATTCTTTTAAAACTATATAAATATTAATATAACTTTTATATTATATAATATTATAAGATAAAAAAATTATAAAATAACTCTAATACTATTATAGTTCAAAGAAATATATTAATAGTTTATATAATTTTAACTTTTAAAAGAAAATTATAATTTAAAGATTTAAAAACAATTTAAAATTTAAAATTTAAAACTTTAATTTAAAATTAAAAAATATTTATAATATATAAAAATTATATATTACTTTAAATATATTATATTATATATATATTCATATTTTAAATATAAAAATACATAATTTAAGAGCTTTATATTAATAAATATATATTATTTAAATATTAATAACTTTATATATTAAATTTATAAATTATATATTAATAAATATATAAAGTTATTAGTTTTTTCCAATTTAGCTATATAATACAGCCTTATTTATATTAAAGTATTAATTTTAATCTTATAAATCCTTTTAATAATTAATAATAATTAAAAGAATTTATATATTAAAAAGTATAATTATTAAATAAAACTGTAATATAAGTATTATTTAAAAAATAGTTAATAATAGGAGTTTATATATAATATAAGCCTAAAATAGTATAATTATTATATATAATTATAAATAACTTAAACCTTTATTAAATTCTATATTATAGTAAATAATACAGATTTTAAAAAATTAAAAAATTATATATAAAGGCTTTTATAATAAGAATATAGTTATAAGTTACTTTTATATATATAATATTTATAAAATAATTAATAAGTTTATTTATAAATAGTCTATTTAATTATATTTTATAAATAATAAAAAGTTAATTAATTTTTAAAAAATATTCAATTTAAACTTAAATTTTAATAATAAATAATACTTTTTATTAAAAACTCTTTATATATTATAATTAATATTATTAAATAAAGTATAATTTATATAATTATATAATATTTTATATATTTATTATAAAACTATATTAAAAATTTATAATTTTATAAAAAATTAACATAATAATAATAACTTTTTAATTATAAGAAGATTATTGTTATAATTTTAGTAACTTACTCGATTATATCTATAGTCTCCATATTCTAAAACTGAAGTTAAAAGGATTTGTGGTTATTTAATTATTAAGATTTTGAAATATCGCTAGAGCGTGTTTTGGTGCGGGACGTGTTTTGGTGCGGGACGTGTTTTGGTGCGGGACGTGTTTTGGTGCGGGGAATCGGTTAGTTGATCCAGTCACTAAAAGCGGCCACCTTTCCTTCTTGCCATTTTCTCGTTAGGGTCGATCGGCGTATTCGATTCCTTGGCGGGGCCATCGAATCGAATACGCCGAGTAGTGCGAGCGGCAAAAAGGTAAAAACGCAGGCGTGGCAGGATACCTGCAGAGCCCGAAAAGGGTGGAGGGGCAGGGGTGCGAACCGGATGGTTAAGCGAGCCCAGAAACGGCGAGCGGCCGGTCCCGAGGGTCGATCAAGTCTGCATCTCAATCAGCAAGATCGAGCGGAATGTGGGCTCAGGTATCCGTCGTGAATGAGATATATGGTGCAGCAATAAGAGCGATTATTTGGCTGGGCGGGGAAAACGAGTTCTTAGAGGACGCGCTATCCTTGATCAAGTCCGTAGGAAATATTCCGGTGGAACGACATCTAGAAGCCACACTGCGGGATTAGTTTAACCGGCACGCTGTATTCCGTAGGCTGGGACTACAGCAGGCACCCAAGATTAATCACTGGCTCGGAATTATTGCATTTTCCTATAGGCCATTTTTCGGACGGATCTGGATTGTTCATCCTGGCTAAGGACGTGGTAGTTGTCTGCGGTAATGAGACATTCTTGGGAGCTGATTTCGAACTCGGTATCGTTCATTACCACCAGCGGATGGCAGATGTATCTGTCCGGTGGTTACGTCAAAGGAGCTATTCACCCCATTCCGAGAATGCCAGGCAGTGAGTTCCATCCAGGCTTGGCAAAATTCCTGAGGCATCGATACCGGTATCGATAGTAGAGGTATTTTTCAGGTATCGCAAGGAATCGATAGTATCGATACCAGAATCGATTCTTACCCCAAAAATTAACTCTTTCTTTTATTATTTAAATTATATAATAATATAATAATATATTATTATATAATTCCTTTAATTTCTAGTCTTTCTATTAAAAGAAATACTTCCTATTATTAATAAAAGTTAATAATATCTTAAATTTAAAATAGCCCTCGTATTCGGAGAATTAAGCCCTGCATTCGTATTTCTTATCAAGATACTAAATATATAAGCAAGCCTTACGAAAATCTCAAAAGCTCAAAAGCTCATTTTTACTTAAAATAGCCGCATTGAGATGAGTTTCAGTCTAAAATATAAGATAAGTAGCTAAATAGAAAGCCTAAATTAAGTAGAGTATTTGCTCTACTAAAAGTTTCTTATAAGAGAAGTGGTTCTAAAGTTAATTGCAATCAAAGGGGGGAATTGGGTTCGGGGAATCGATACTGGTATCAATACTATCGACACCTGACGATTCTGGCATCGATACCTATCGATACCGGAAATTAAGGAATTTTTGCCAAGCCTGGTTCCATCTAAGCACGATGAGCATCTGCCACAATATGATCCAGCAACCTGGTGTTGAAATCATCGCCTCCGCTATTTACCTCGAAACAACACGAAGAGGAATAGAACAATCTGGACATTTGGTGGTTTTTCGCCATCTCTTGGATATCTTCCGTCTTTCACGAGCATCCAATCCAGGAGACATGATCTACGCCTTACTGAGTCTTGCGTGGAAAGAACTTCACCCCTTTTCGTCTCACCCGGGCCTTTCAGTTCCGGATTACGAGATCTCAGTAAGAGATCTCTTCATCAAGACTGCAAGAGTAATGCTCGAATGCACCAATGATTTCCAGTATCTCTGCCACGTTGAAGACCGCTTACAAAGAAAATTGCATGGCCTCCCATCTTGGGTGCCGGATTATACTCCATACTTAAGGCCGAGTACTTTCTACTTGCAAAGGTTTCCTGGCCCAAACATGTACCGCAATGCTGGTAAAGGACTCGAAAAATACCAGAATCCAGGCGGTCTAACATCCGACCAGCTTTTTGTCTCCGGGTTTCGATTGTCTCGATTGACTCACCGGTCGATCCCTTTCCGATGGGCGAATATGTGGAGACGGGGGTTGGTACCAACGACAACTCCAAATCTTTGAATTTGTGGCACAGATTAGCGAAGTGCAAATGAAGGCACTCGAACCTGAGTGATACCAGATATACGGATGCTTCAGAGAGTATATGCTAATTGTATTTGCAGATCTGTTGGACGGTGCGAAGTGCTTCGGAGAACCTTTTGCGGAAACTATCTCAAACAACAGTATCCGGCACCCGAGGGAATGAATTCTGTATTCTTCCAATGGCTTTGCATATGGTGCGTGGTGAGGACTTTTAGAGAATTAGTCGCCCTTTGGCCGGGTTCAAGAACTTGATCAAAGCCTGCCGAAACAATAGGAGTGATTAGTGAAACGCATCCAGCGGCTGCTAGACCAAGAACCAGCAATAAATGAGTTCCAAATGTCTGCCTTCGAAGACCTTATGGTCAACTGGTTGTCGACACTACTCATTGGACTGACTTAAATTGGTCTCGGCCAGTTTTCAGTTACTGGTGGCAAGATGTCAATGCTCATTGTACAAATCGACGACATTTACAAGATAGTAGAAGATTCTGTGTTGGACCGCTCTCTTACGAGAAGGGAGACGAAATCTGGATTATTAGTAGTACCAGAGACCCATATTTGCTGCGGGAAATATCAAGTGGGAAATATATACTCCTTGGGGCGGTGTATATCCATGGGATTATGGATGGCAATCTCGCGGACAACAGACTCCTCCAAGATATTGAACAGATTGCTCTTGTGTAGACAGCATAGAAAAACACACATTTTTCTCATGCTTCTTCTAACTAAGAATATTCAAAGATGAATCAGCTTCCTAAGCCAAGATAAAAGAGATCGATCATAAAGCCGATAGCTAGGCTGTTCAGCCACTTGACTGATTGTCCCTATGTTGCAAAAACATTGCGAGCTTCGGAAGTTTCTCAGAAAGCACTGAATCAAACTCGTACGTTTCAACGCTCTTTGTATTCTTGGGTATCGACGCACGAAAGGCTCTATTCTAGACACATTATAGACCCCCAGCAGGTGGGACATACGGATGGATCAGCATCTCACTGAACATCTCTAGCCTCTCCTTGCCTCGAACTTCCTCAACCAACAACGGCATCTTGACAACGTTGAACTCGTCATATAGCTCCTCAATCTGCTCGAGATACTTCTTCTGCATCTTTCTCCTCGCATTGCATTGCTCGCACTCGCTTCCTGCCTTCGGGAACAGCAGCTGGTTGACGACGATGCAGTGGGTATCAATGTGGTATCCTGCCAGTTCCTGAATCATTCGTTCCGTCTCGTACAGGGAGAGGAATTCCGGTATACAAACGCAGACAAATGTGGTGAGGTTCTCGTCCTTGAATTGTGTGTTGACTTCGCTGATTGTCTCTCGCAAGCCCTCCAGCTTCTCCATCATCTCGGGGAGATTTGCACCATTAGGCATTTGGCCATTGGCACCGAGCAGGCCATTCAACATGGGGCCGAATTGTGTAGATAGCTGGGAGACCTTTGCAAGAGCCTTTTCGAGGACGGAGGGGAACTGGAGGAAGCGGAGGGTATGTCCGGTGGGGGCGGTGTCGAAGATGATTGTTTCGTAGGAGAGGGATTTGACTTGCTTGAGAACTTCTGCGAATGACATGGCTTCGTCGATACCTGGGATCTTAATGTCGTTAGTCGGGTTCTGGCGAGGGTGAAAGGTGACCTACTGCAAACGCCAAATCTTGCATCATGCCTCCCATGCCAGCAGCCGGACCTTCGCCCTCTTCAGCTTGGCCAATAAGCTCCTGAATGCTTCCGCTCGGATCAATCTCCATTGCACTCAAGTTTGTGAAACCATTGACAAGTCTAGCCTCCTTGCCAAATTTCTGCGAGAAGGCGTCCGAAAGGTTGTGTGCTGGATCGGTAGAGATCAGGAGAACTGAACGGCGGACCTTGGCCAGTTGGATGGCCAGAGAGCAGGAGGTTGTGGTCTTCCCCACGCCACCTTTTCCGCCTACAAATATCCACCGGAGCGACCTTTGGTCGAGAATGGATTGCAAGGTAGGCTCGAGAGCGTCATCTGCGTTGATCACGGCAGAGGACATGATTGCGATGTACCTGGTCTAGCAGGGACAGTGAGAGAGAGTAGATGGTGAAGGTGGGCGTTGGTGGAGGAAAGTATTGTACTGGAAGGATGAAAACATTGAAAGCCTTGGTTTTTGGTTCCTCCGCCTTCTCGAAAGTCAACAGGGGTGGGACGCTAGGCATTTGATTGGTTGCTTCAGCCTCACAGTGAATATTAAAAGCGGCACAATTTTTGGTTGTCCTCGGTCAACTTGGACATTCATCTTAATGATAGGCCATTAATGTACTAGAATTTCCAAAACATTCAATGGGATTGACTTTGAACAGATAATAACTCGAAGGAACATTCAGAGGGGAAGGAAGATACGTTTAAATTGACCAAATTGACTTGGAACATTGAGAATCCAGTGCTGCTCTTTTTCGCCAACCTTTATAGTGAACCTCTAGATGATTGTGTATTTGGTCGACTGTTTACCGTCTAAGAATCCCACTTTTATTTCTTGGCAGTCAATTTAGCCTTCGCCACAAGGCTGAGGTTGTGAAGACTCCAGACGAGGCTGAAACAGAACGCGGGGAGCTCCGAATCGCGGACGGAGATCAAGACTCGAGCATCGAGCTTTTCAGCAAAAGATCTTCCCAACCCTTACGAAAACCTCAGAATCCCCTCAACTATCTTACTGCCTCTTCGGCTTCTCATTGTGAATCTGCAAAACCACTACAGGTAGTTATCGCGGCCCAATATCAATGCTACATTCTAACATTTCCCATAGCTTAGAACGTGTCCAGAAACCAAAAGGTCCTTGAATCCCTGTACGGCCCTCTACATATCAAACAACACAACAATTGGCTTCCTTAAATCCCACAGCAGCCATGGCTACACAATCGAGAGACCCAATCACTTGCCACGTTCTTGACACAACGACTGGTCGTCCTGCAGCCAATCTCTCGGTCACTCTAGTCTGCTGCACCATTCCCAATGTCATCTTCCACTGCAAGACAAATGCTGACGGACGGATCCTGAACTGGCAAAACACGCAAGGCTCTCAGGGAGAGCTTGGCGCGTTTGTTGAGAGCCATGGTGGTGTTTCTGCAGCTCTGCGCTTCATGATCAGCCATTATGCTGCAGTCGAAGGAACACCAAACTGCCCAGTGGGATCGAGTATTTGGAAGCTGAAATTCGATACGGGTGCACACTATGGACCAGCCAATACCTTCTTTCCTGTCGTGGAGTTATCGTTTCTGGTCAAGGAGGGCGAGCATTTCCATGTCCCTCTGCTGCTGGCTCCATACAGCTTCACCACGTACAGAGGAAGCTAGACTGGAGTTGTTTGATGATTGTATGATACCATGAATTACCTGTGCAGGAAGGCCGACCCAACGAGTTATGCAGTGTCCCTGCTCCAAATGTAAACTCCACGCTGAAACCCAAAATTTGATCGCCCGTTGCACCCCTCTCATTATCTATGCAGGCTCAGTCTCTTAAATAAACTCTTTTTCTTTTCTCCGTTACTATGGCCGCTCTCTGCTCTCTTGTGTCCTTTTGTATAGCCGTTCACAGGTGCACTCGCGGCTCCGTTGCCATAACCGTTCGCAGGCCTCTCGTCTATTCCGCCATCAATGACACCGTTTTGTTGCGACGCTCCGTTGGCTGGGCTTTCCGTACTTAGTAGCTTCACAGCCAACGCCTTCGTATTCTCAACCTCTTGAATTCTGTCCGCGTATTTTAAGTTGTCGTACAGCCCCTTCATCGGGTCTATCTTGCCAAAACTGTTTTTGCTGTGAGGTCTCCGGTGGAGGAAGGAATTGCGAGAGTGGATTCGAGTAAGGTCATCTGGCGCTTCGATTGTGGCATTTGGGGAGGTATCTGCATCAGGGTGGGGAAGAGTAGTGTTGCGGTCTGGAGCAGAAGTCAGTTTTTGCATCTCTTATGGGAGGAGGTCCATATACCAGGACTCAGTGGCTCCGGAAAGCCAGTGTGCTTGTTGAGGACGTTGACCTCTTTGGCCGGTAAGTCTTGGACGTTCGTCGGCATTCTTGTGTGCAACGTCGAGCTTCTTCGTAAGTGGGTTCGATAATTCGCTCGCGGTATTATGAGGTCCTCGCAGTGGTATCTCTCGGAGACTGCCTTGGAGGTAAGCGCTTGATACAGGGGACTGAACATGTTGGATATCTTGTACTTGATTTTGATTCATTTGAGGAAGTCATGGTGGGACAATCGCATTTAAAGGAAGAGAGCACTCTAGACTTAGAGCTCAGCCTTTGCGATGGGCGTGAAACTGGGTCGTGTTTGATTGGATCCCAGTCATTGGCGGTGAATGAACGTCGATGCGCCGTCCAGGCACAGAGGCGCTTCATGACACACCTGCATGACAGCCGAGCATGGCTAAAATAAGAGAATACTTACGTTGAAGGAGAGATGTTGCTGAGCTGCGACTGCAGTTCTTGTGGCAACTCTGAATGGTTTTGGGCGAGGCGACTGGGAGGCAAGAGGCATACGCAGCCTTAATATTCCAAGTCCACAGCCTTGTCTTGGTCACAGCAGGGGTCCAGGCGGGATGACGTAAAAAGGCGAATCACAAGCCACAGTGATTCCACAGGCTGTCCATGCCCTGTTCTGTTCTTGTTGCACTGGAGTATTGATCATCATCCATATGTGGATTGAGTGGTTCGTGGGCAAGAAAAAGTTGGATGGGTGACCTGGGTGCGTGATTTATTGGGAGCATCCGTGGAAATATCTCAGCGAACCACTTCTCCATATTTTTCTGTTCCCCGCAGGAGATGATGGAAATGTCTTGGGAGTACTAGGGCTATTCCATTTCTAGAAGAACAACACCACCAATGTCAGGACCCCCAGCCAAGGCAGGAACGTGTTCAACACAAGTAGCCAAAAGCCAACTTCCGTTAATCCAAATCCATTGCTTCTCCGTGATACTGGTCTTCCCCATGACGATGCACGTCCCCAAGATCAGTGATCTCCTGCAGTGACACGCTATTTGGGCTCCAGTCCATATCATCTACCGGCCGCTCACTGATCTCCTGCAAAGCCAAGAGCAACGTTTCCTTTGCAGCCTGCGGATCTCTGCTCTGATCCCAATTGTTCAACTCTACCCACAATCTGTGGAACTTATTCCTCCTTGTGACATCCGCGAACATGGACATTACGTCCTGAGCCTTCATCACCATCCTCTGTATCTCAGTGTTGTCACATAAATGTCTATGAACCGCAGCATTTCGAATCTGGACAGCATCTGCTAATGCCCTCTCGAGAGAACATGATAGGTGTGGAACAATGGCGTTGGGTGGCAGTGCAGCTGGAAGGGTATCCCTCCACGTCGACAGCTCGACAGCTTCCGGGCAATCCCACCTGTTGTCCCTCAACTTCTGTGGTATCCATCTAGACGCAAGATCGAAACATGCTTCTTCGATTATTCTTTGCATCATCGCGAGGATATAATGCTGGACTTCATACGGGAGACCTAGGTCAGGAGGTTTCGGGGTTGATGCTCGGTGAGGGTTGGGAACAATCTGCAGACGGTCAGCTCTTGTACAAAGAAATGGTTGCACAACAAAATGAGTTACATACCCTAGTCCATACTTCATCGGCCTTCGGTCTCCCACGGAAATTTCGAGGTGCCCATCGACTTGTGGACAGCCCGGGCTCTTTCTGGGTGGGATGGATCGTATCGGGGCGGCTTTCTGGAGGCTGCAGGAGATGGTTTTCGTTGTAAGAGGTCGAGATGTGATTTGTATGGTCTGCGGATGTCTGCAGATGCCCGTTTGCTGGTAGGCCAGTGGCCTGAGGACCTGGGGAGCATCGAAAGCACACCTTCCGCCATGTGAAGTTGGAGAATCCACAAGATGGGCAGATCCAGTCCCCAACGCGCCTGAAAGAGTCCCTACCTTGGGGAGCCCATATGCTGTTCTGCAAGCCATGGTCATTCATCGTCAAGGTGTTGGTACAATGAGGCGGGTTGGCGTTGCGGGCTTGCCTGATTGAAGACAAGCTCGTTGGCGCACTTTATTTCGCATGATTGATGATACCGTTGCCGAATCTGGGGTGAATACTAAACGAGCATCCTGCTTTTCCAAAGAGTGGTACTATAAAAGCTGCTTTTGGAGGCAACGGTTGTTGCAGAGAGATATGTTGTCCAGGTGAAACGGCGCGTGCCGGCACGGAAAAACAATCACCCCCGAATGCAACCTGCGAACACTCTCTTACTCTCGTACTCGTCACAATTTTCAACGTCCCAATACATTGTACTTTCTATCAGTCTGCACCCTTATCCTGTTGTCATCTTTGATTCTCACTTCTGGTCCTTCTTTTCCTGTCCTACCTCCTCATCTGTTACAATTTCGACAGGAATTTCGACATCCTGTCGGGTCTGCTCTTCATTCTGCAGCCTCTTCTCCCCTCCATCCGTGACCGCACCTAAACACCAGCCACAGCATGGGACTGATTGCTAACCAAATGCCTGCTACAATGGTACAAGTCCAATTATATTGATGAGTAGCACAGCAGTGGCTACAGCGCCGGCTCCAAAAGGGCATGGGATCAAACTGCTCGCGGCGGCGGTAGTTGGGCTTTCAACATTGATATCGATAATCAGTGTGTTCAGCGAGCTGAATGCACTAGTGGTGGTATGTCTAGTTAAGAAGAGTGTAATCACCGGGCCAGCAAGATTGGTCTTGAAATTCATCACCCATCGGTATGCAATCATAGAGAGACAAGCAAGGTACACCAAATGTAGACTTATTTGCAGCCTCGAGATTTCTGTAGGAAAGTCTGATAGTTTTTGCTGTCTGTTCTTGACGACCCCGTTGCATTAGTTTGCAAATGTTAATATACCTGCACATAAATTATTCAAGCCCAAACTCCTATTCATTTAAGCGCCTTCATCAAGCACACGTCTAATTACAAGGTATATTAACACAATTTCTCCGTTGCTACCAGATTAGGTGGAGAACTGATCCACCTCAGGGGCACAACTTGCTGCCGATCACATTTCTCAACATTCGCACACGAATGCAAATGCCATGCTGAAATCGACTTCAACCCAGCAATAATCTCGGGTACACTCTGTGGTGCAGCCGCTTTCGGACAACCTATCGCCGCATACAGATCCATCTTACAAGTCGCGCTCAACTCCTGAGTCTTCACTCCGTCCGCTGGGCAGAATTGCTGCACCGAGTACTCTGCCTTCTTCAACCCCGATTTTTGCCAGCTGTTGATGGCAAACAGAGCACGGCTGTCGTCCTTGGGGATCGCAGCTTCCTTGCTGAACTCCGCTTTGGTCCGGTCGTTTGTTCGTATGAAAACATCGCCTTCGAGATTGCCGGTAATAATGTCGGGTTCGCTGTTCTTCTGAAGAAGACTATTGAGAGTGGTCCGCACATCATGGAGGTAGGAGTTGCCCAACTGCGCGAAATGTACATCATACCCGTGAGACAGCAAGTCCCCAAGAAGTGCGAGAGAACCCTTTGATCTGACATCGTAGCATGGAAGGTTGAGAGTGATGCAGCTTGCAAGAGCAGCATCGTCATACGCTGCTACAATGTAAGTCTTGACGCCTCCAAATCGTACCAATGTGAAGATGGTATTCAGGATGAGGTCTCCAATCAGCTCCACATCTTCTTTGCCAACAGTAAAGGGGATCACGCTGACGAGTTCCGTGGTCTCCTTGCTGACAGCAACGTCCGCTCGCTTCTTGAAATCATCGTATGCCGCCAGCAGACCATCAAGATCGCCTTGGTTGGCCGGCCATTTGAAGACGGGTGTTCCGGGGGAAAGGAGATGCGGTGCCGAGAGCCCATGCAATGGCGTCAGCCACTCCTGAATAAACACATTGCCTTCCATCGTCTGCTTTGCCATGTACGCCATCTCCTTTTTGAAATCAGCCTTCGCTCTGTAGTTCAACAGACGCTTCATCTTGCAGGTGTCGGCGAGAGTTCCCTCGAGATCGTTTGCACGGGGATCGGTGTGAACTTGCTCCTTGGACACCAAGTCTGCCACTTCTTGGACTGAAAACTTGGTCCCGGTTCCGAGATTTACTACGTCGCCGTGGAGATCTGGGGACTGCTGTGCCAGGATGAGACCCTCGACGATGTCGGTGACGTGGATGAAGTCCCGGTAGTGGGAGCCATCTCCTTCAATTGTCAGCTGATGCCCTTGAGCAGCCTGCTTCGCAAACACTCCGGTGACGATAGCATAGGCGCCCGTGCTGGGTTGACGTGGTCCATAGACCATGAAAAATCGGGTCGAAATTGTGGGAACTTTGAACAGTCTGTCAAACATCTGCATCTGCAGTTCACCCTCATACTTGCTCGCGGAATATGGCGTCAAAAAATCGGGCGCCATGTCTTCTCGGTGAGGTGCAGGTTTGTTGCCATAGTAAGTGGATGAGGCGGCGTAGATGACCTTCGAAATGTTGCCCTGCTGACGAACTGCATCAAGGACATTCCACGACCCCAACGCGTTGGACTCGGTACAGAAGCGTGCCATTGCGGAGGATTTCAGGGATGGTACCACTTTGCTCATGGCCGCCAAGTGGTAGACAAAATGAACATCCTTGACTGCTCGGCTCAGATCGTCCATGTTCATAATGTCGCCAAAGATGAACTCCACATTCTTGTTCTGGAGGGGAACATTGCGTAGGAAGCCGGTATAGAGGTTGTCCATTATTTTGACCTTGTAGCCCAGTACCAGCAGTCGGTCTACCAAGTTCGACCCGATGAAGCCCGCCCCTCCCGTGACAAGGACCGTAAGTCCTTTACCTGACTTCGCCGCTGCGCCGTCATTTGAAAGCGCGACGTCGACGCAGGGATCCCTCGCTCCTTTGTTCTCGGTGACAACTGTTGCAACATCGTCGTGCTTATAGTCGAATAAGGGATCAGCCAAGCCGCCATGGCCCGCGAGGTTCGGGGAGGATGGAGAATCCGATGACAGTCTGAAGAAAGGCATGGAAATGAGGAACGTGATTGTCAGTAGCGCCGCTGCCATTATCACGTTCCACCCAAGAGAGCGCTTCATGGTGAACATTTTGAATCGAAGAAAACGGGTATCTAATTGGGGATGTCAGTTGAATGCTCTGGACCGGGGAGAGGTGGGATCCTACACACGAAAACGGGGAACTGGGTATACAATTAACGTGCGCCGTGAACCACAACGAGAACGGGGAAGGAATTTGCAGCGCCGATAAAGGGTCTAATCGACGAATTCAAACGAACGACTCATTCAGAATAAGGAAGGGCGGAGTGAAGACGCGCTCGCGGATCAGAGGTGCAGAGGTGCAGAGGTGCAGAGGTGGGGTGGATGGGAAAAGGAGGAAGTTCAGAACAGAGAAGAAGATTATTTCGCTGGGTGTTGGGTGCAGGGTGCTGGCTGGGTGCAGGGTTGTGTAGCACTAATCATGCCATAGATTATAGATAGGGCTATAATCCATGATTCCATTGGCCAGATGGCGGTGTAAAATTGGGAGCCACACTGTTCAACGCGAGAGATCAGAGAAGGCAACGCGCAGAAAGGGGAGGGGAGGCGGCAGCCACTAATCCAGTACCTAAGCAAGCAGGCTTTAGCCGAGTCGTCCAATGATACGGGCCCAGCTTCTCCCCTGCCTGAAACCGCGGCGCCCCAGAGCAAAAACGGCAGTTTTTATGGAGATGAAGCCAACAGGAGTCAGGAGGCAGGACGAAAGCCGGATTCTGCACGTCGATCCAGCCTGGGCAGCCTTTTTACAGTACAGTACAAGTGCAGTACTGGTCCACAGTATCCGGGATCCAGCAGCCCCTTGGTGGACCAATCATGTGCGGGGAGGTCCACGATCGTGGAGATTGTCGGCCTTCCCCTCAGCGGGCCGATCGCAAGCAACAGAGCAGTGGCAAACACGATCCGAATACTCGTATTACCGTATGCTTGGAAAGCCATCACACGTTATTGATATGGTGTATCCCCCGCAAAGAAGGCCTTGCGAACATCATGCCTCTGATACGGAGGACCAATTGGTGCTCATTGTCCTGATCTCATTCATTCTCAACCTCTCTCTCGTATCCGGAACCCAGGCGTCATCAAAATCAGACAAAGTTCAAAGTTGACGTTTCGCGCGCCACCGGCGTCGGCCGCTGTTGACATGCTGACAACTTAAATTTGGTACAATAATGTACTTATTTTCGTTGATTTTTGGTTCCTAACTTCCTCGGAGTTTTTGTACGTTGTAAACTACTCCCTAGTTACTAATTGCGTCCTAGCCGAAGGGGCGCCCGCCACCACAAACGTAAATTACTCCTTCCAAGTCCTCACAGGCGCCCCGGCCAACGGGAGGCTTCGAAATACGCCCGAAGGTCTGCGCCGCCGTGCGACAGAGCGACGGAGCGATGGTGCGACGGTGCAAGACATTTTTAGATAAGAGATTTCAACAAAGTGCACCGTCGGCTCTGCCATTTCTGCGCATGGTTTTCCGCTTCTGGATAAAATGAGAAACTGATGTGTTGCGTACAAGTACCTCCGTACCGTGGCGCTATTTTAGACTTTTGAAGTAATTTGACTTGCAGCTAAGGACTAGCCTCCGCCGTCAGCCCCCAAGGGCCAGGCCCAGGGTCGATCCTGTTACCTGTAGCGCGGACGGGCTTGCCTCAAGAAGGCATCCATTCATCATCACGCTACTGTATCCTGATCCACGCTCCACTTCCAACCCCTTTTCGCCTCTGCATCGACGCACTTCACCCGTTTGTCAATTGGGAAAGAAAAGGAGGCGGCAGCATGGACTCCTAGGTCTGCAGCATCCTGCAACCTGCGACCTGCTACCCACGGATCGCCAACTCGACAATTCTTCTCGAGTTCCTCTCGGGGAGCGCACACTCGACGGGCTTCCTTGGCCAGTCTCACGCTCTTTTCCTCGCGCACTGTCTCCGGAAGTTTGAGAATGGCTTCGACGGAGGCTGAGGCTGAGGCCGAGAAACTCATCAATGAGGGTGAGGGCTCGAAGGAAGGATGGGCAAATGGTGAAAGGGCCGATGAAGAAGGGGAGGCCTCTGAAAAATATTATTCAGACATGGACGAACACACAGGCAACGGCTATTCCTACTCGGCGCTCGCGAAGCGACATGGCCCACGACTACGACAGCTGTCAACCAGATATGGGCTCGGCAGACGTCTCGACCAACGCGGCGTCCTCGTCCTCGCCGGCGCCGTTGTTGTGATGCTTGGGGTCGTGGGAATGGTTCGATATCTTTTCGCGGGCGGCAGACCAGGGCCCACCTTTGCATCCGTATCTGCTTCCGCTTCGACATATCTACACGGCGATCGAAAGCCATTTTTCGCAGATTTCTACAAAGATAACAAGGCCACGCCTGGGACATTCCCATTGCAGCTCCCGGCTGAATCGCACAGCGACTTCTGCTCCATCTGCGACTGCCATGCAACACCGACCTTCTACTCGCCGAGCCCAGACTCGAAATTTGCTCCACGACCGCTCGCCCAAGACATCCAGCCGAGTCGACATACTATCGACGTCAATGAATACGCACGGAAAGCGATCCTCGACATGTACTGTGCGCATGTACAGCTGACCTATGGTCAGGCTCTTACGCTACTTCGAAATACACATAGGGATCTTGGAGAGGTAGCGTCGTGGTCCCTGGCAGAGTTAGAATTAGGCAAACCTACCATCTACCTCACAACAGCAACATCGCCGAACAGCAACGCGAGGGCACTCAGACCGCAGTACTTTCGACGCCACGGGAAGGCGATACAGTCTTGGATATCACAGGGGAACCCTGGGTGGCAGGTTGTGTGGGTTGTCGCTGAGGACGAGGAGGTTATCGACCCTCGAATTTCACGAATGCTCCGCAAGTCCGAAGTGCCGTATATTTACTTTGCCTATGGACTGACTCGTGCATGGGGCAATGCACAAAAGAACGCTGTGCTGCAGATGACTTATGCACTGAGCAATTCGAACAGCGGATTGTTGGGCCACGGTCCCGTGTACGGACTTGATGACGACAACAAGATGCTCCCCGAGCTTCTGAACATTCTGACAAAAGTCACTCGCGTCGGGGCATTTCCGGTGGGAAATCTGGGGTACGAGGGATGGGAGGGGCCAATAGTAGATGAAGAGGGGGTTATGATTGATACTGAGTCGGGCTGGAAACGAAAGTTTTCTCTCGATTATGGGGCATACACTTTCAACTCTTCGTTACTCGGGACCCTGATCACGGCGCCTGCGCTCTGGAAACACACCTCGTATGCGGGAGAGAGCGAGTTCTTGGAACAGATTGCTGGGAACATCAGGCATGTGGAACCATTGTGCAGCAAGTGCCGTGTTGTATGGCATAATGAAGGTTTGACAGATCAAGAAAAGATACCGGAGGAATTCTGAGCTTGGCTGCGCTCTCCTCATTTATAGATTTTCGGCGTTATGGTTTGAATGATAATCATTGCGGCTCCATACTTATTCAACTTCGGTGGGCTCTTCAATCTGTACGACAGTGCTCTTTGTCGATGTCTGTATTCATTTTTGGACCTTTGGTTCTCAGCCACGTGCCATACAATGCTTGAAGACCAGTCAATTTGGAGTCTCATATCCGTTCCCATTCCTGATCCTCTCTGTCCCCTCCAATTCCAAAATCCACAACCTTCCACCTCAGTAAGGTCAAAGAATGCTTCCCAAAGGTAAACTTGCCCTCTGCATCCCAGCAGCTCTCCTTCACCTTAACATTCTCAACTCCATCTCCATTCCGCACCTCGACATCACTTCCCGTAACCGTGAAGACCTTCACCTCCCGCACCTTTTTTAACCCTTTGATATCGGTCTTGAAAGACTTTTCCGGATGGATGTTGATTACCACCATCCCCGCCCACCCGTCCTCATCCACGCATGCCGAAACATCTAACCACGGCGTCTCACAAGAAATGGATCGTATCCACCAAGGCTCCGTCTCGCCCTCATAACAGCCACTCCAAACATGGACACCTACAGTCTCCCCACGCATGTACTTGCAAAACAGCAGCAACGGCCACCAGGTCGTCTGTTTCCAGATCCCCTTCTTCGTTGTCATCAATGGCGAGATGACATTCACCGACTGTGCGATACACGCCATACCAACATCCTTAGCCTGCCTGATGAAGATATTCAACCAGGCCCCAACAGCCAGCGCATCAGAGAGTGTATACTGTTCCTCAGCGCCGCGTTCCGGATTTGCCCGTCCACTATCCCAAACATTCCACTCATCAAAGCAGATCGTTTGTCGCGGCACCCAGGGCGGAATGCCTCGCTCGATCCTTGCCAGATCGATCAACCCGCTCGTGATCTGGATGGAGCGTTCTGCGGATCGCGGAGCCGTCACGTTGGGCAGATGTCGATGGTTGGCGCTGGTGTAGATGTGGACGCTGTGCATCGAGATCCATGGGATGCATTCCATCAGCACATGGTGATCCCAACTCGTGTGTCCCGAGATCCCACAGAGAATTAACTCTATGCTGCCGTCCAGTTTCTTCAACGCTTTCGCCCACTGCACGGTCTTGGTGGCGTAGACTTCCTTGGATATCTGCTCGATTTGCCAGTCGCCCCACACCTCGTTACCAAGGCCCCAGTATTTGACCTGTGGGGTGGAAGTGAGTGATGGTCTTAGGAGAGATAGGGGGAGACGTACGTTGTAGGGCTTCTCTCTACCGTGCCTCCGGCGTAGGTTCGCATAGTGTGTGTCCCCTGACCCGTTGCAATATTCAACCCAGGCTAGAGCTTCGTCCAAAGTTCCTGTTTCAAGCAAGCTCATTAGTCTCCAATTGCTCCACAGGGAGACATGTCGTGGTTCATTGTCATTGAGACTAACCTGTGCCCATGTTCAAACAGAGATACGGCTGCGTTCCAAGTACCTCACACCACTGCAGGAACTCGTCGGTGCCGAATTGGTTGGTCTCCGTGTCCCGCCATGCAAGCTCTGGTCTATGCCAGAGGATCTTAGCGGATTTTCGACCATAGAGTAAATCACGAAAAGCAATAGGACAGAGGGGTAATTCCAAAGTCTTCTTACCTCGTAGGCCGTTTTTCTCGCGGCCCTATGCCGTCCATCCAATGGTACGTCGCCACAAAATTGCCGCCCGGATATCTCACCACCGGTACTTTCAGCTCCTTCAAGGCTGCAAGAACATCCTTACGGAATCCGGTTTTCTTGTCCGACAAGGTGCTTCCTGGTTCGTAGAGTCCGCCATAGATGCAGCGGCCTATATGTCTGGTACGAGGCAGCTACATATTAGCAAATTGCATCGTGAAGAGTTGAGCAATGGGGATAGACTGGCGAGGTCAGAGTACAATGAACACCTACTCCGTGAATCCGCCATAGATATTGGGGTTTATTTTTGCTACGCGTCGAGAGACATCGATGGAGATGCAGGGAGTCTGATCCTCTGGGATTTTCGTAAAGGTTGTCATACTGGCAGGGGGCTACAACAGAGTCGTCGTAAAATAGGATGTAAGAGGGTTGAAGGGTAGCTTGAGGGTGGGGCAGCCGCCACCCTTAAATGGTCCCTGACTGATCTTGAAAAAGGAACGGACCACGCGGGGTTATTTATTCACGCGTGTCATCTGCTGGACCACGCGACCTCGGTGTGCATAAGCGATCCACTCACGGAAGCGTCACTTGAAACACCTTTTGCTGCCACAGGTAAGAGCGTGCCAGCTACCTTGTAAGGCCGTGTCCACGTGGGGACATACTGGCTGGGAGGGCATGGAGGTCTTGATCGCCCGGTTCAATGGCTGGGAAAAGGGTAGCTGAAATGTAAACAGAGAGACTTATGGAGCTGAAGGGCTTCGTACTTTTTGAGTCCGAACTCAGTTGCAAAATCCGGATAACTTCGAAGGGTGGTGTACATGAGTTGGAAGAGAAGTGCCATCAATTGGACTCCCCTTGGGTGTATGATTGAAGGGAGATTGTGGGATTGACTCGAGAAGTGATGAATGGAGGTATCTCAGGTCAGATGCCCCTTTTTCTCGGGCGCCCTTTTCCGGGACCCCGCATTACCCCGCGATACGCCCATGCAGCCGCAATGCACAACGGCTGCCAACGGAGGACCTGCTCCTTTGTCTTCCCAATCCGTTAACCTACTTGAAACTACACCCCGAATGCTCAATCTCCAACTTCTTTTCCCATCTTTTCGTCCTTGATAATTACTTTGACTCAATAAGGTTATTGAAGGACTGAGGCAGTGTGTTGAACTCTTAAACCAGCTTGGCGACTCCTTATTCCCTTCTAGATCAACATCTTTTTCTTTGGCTTGATACTCCCTACGTCGTCTAGATGGGATCAGCGACCATCAGTTTCCGGACTCGTCGCTGTGAGAGTATCATTCAATGCCCTGCAAAAAAATCACGTCAGTTTCAATTGCATACAACAGCACCTTCCCAACCTGGCTGTTGTTCTTTCAAAGAGTGCGATTTCAACCTCTTTTCGAAAAGTCAGTGCACATGGCCACTTGGGAGGAGCCGCTGGTATTGAAGGTTTCGAGTCAGAGCGGAAACATCATCTTTCGCAACGCTTTCCAAGTCGGAAGATCAACACTGGGATTCAGGAAGAAACCTTGAGATCTGCGAAACTGGGCGCCTATCTCCCCCTTTCTCGCGCCAAAGTGGCTGAGACGTTCGCTGCCGGAGGTCAATCTGAAGCCCAATTCTGACAGCGCCGACCTATCGGTTTGAAACGCCGTCTCTGCTGCGCCACGGTGAAGAAGCTTCGTGACACAAGCTTGTTCGCTATGATGCAACATGAGATGATGTGTTGTTGCGATTCGCTTATCTGATGAAATCGTGAAACAGAACGTGAGGCTAGTATCTCCTCAGATCAATGGCCCTGCCACGTCGTGATCTCCACATTCCCTGGAGCAGCTCCTGTATTATCCCCATTGTTTGTTTCCCCGACATTGAAAACGTCCTGATTTCAAACAAAGTCTCATCAATCAAAGGCCCCAAAACTTCGGCCGACAGCCCGTCCTTGATGTTTCCAATCCTAAGCGAGTCCGCCGTGTCGGCTCTTCTTGCTCCTTTCCTAGCAGAATTGGCCTCGTCTAGGGAATTTTTCGTCTCAGGAGAAGGTTCACCTCCTCTTTCCAAGCGGCCTTTTCTCGTGAACACTCAAGCATCAAACCAACTAGACATGTCTGGGGTCACTCTTCTTGGGGCCATCGTGCGGTCTGAGCCATAACACGAAACTCGTGAAAAGTTGAAGCATGCATGTTCATTCGAGGTCTTGACATCCCATAGAATGGATGATAGAACGCACAAACCAGGTTTGGCCTTAAGTATATAAGATGCCAACATCTCCACGACAATCTTCTTTTGCACTCATCAACCAGCTTTCACTTGATCCTTTGCTTCTTCCAATCCATTCCTTCATCACTGTACTGGATACAGTAACTTCTTTCTTTTAAATACGTTATTATTACTTTAGTCTTCATTCAATTCAAAAATGCTCGTCAATATCTTTCTCGTTGCTCTCGTAGCATCTCCCCTCGTTGCCGCCCACGGCAAAGTTTCCGTCGTTGTAAGTCACATCTCTCCATGGCGTCTGCGGAACTGACGCCTTATCAGACTGGCGATGCTGGTGGAAACACAACCGCACTTGGCATTAAAGGCGCCGTTGTCCCCGGCACAGGTTCCAACTCCAAAACGGAAGTCGACACCACAGTCTTTAACTCGGTGAAAGCCGCTACAAATGGCTTAGGCAAAACGACTGGCGGTGGAAAGAATACTCTGGCTGGAATGTCTGCTGTTGTTGCCCAGTCTGGATCGACCCTCCCTCAAGTCAGCAGCAACGGTGGAACTCTTTCTGGAACGCTTCACGTAGTCACCACAGATGGAGCTGGGCCCTTTACTGGTACTTGGTCTTCATTCACAACTCCATGAGACGTTGACTGACACCCCATGTAGCAATCGTCGATCCAACTGGTACCGGTAAATTTGCCACAGGCACACAAGCAGATGTCACCACTCAGGTCCCAGGAAAGAACGGAAACATCTTGCCTAGTGGGAAGGTTCCTCGCTCTGTGTCGAGGCTGTTTGCTAGAATGGGACTGCATAAGCGTGCTGCGAATGTGAACAAGGACTTTGTGAGTACTTTTCCTTACTGGCATATGTGCGACGGCAGCTAATGATCGATTCTCTGTAGCCATTCCAGGTCGCAATCCCGGCTGGAACCACATGCACCGGTACCGCTGGCGGGCAGACAGGTGTGTGTCTCGTCAAGTTCGCCAATTCCAATCCTGCGGGACCCTTCGGCGGTGTTTTTGCGATGCAAATCGCTGGCGGCAATACAACAACCGCGTAGATTTTCCATCGTCGATCTTTACAGTTCGCTCAGGCTTCGCAGTGGAAGCTTAGCAAAAGCTGGTTGAGCATGACTATCCCACCCTTGTATTTATCTCCCTTTTCAACAATTGAAATTGAATTATGATGTTCACTTTTGGGTTGTGCTCAAGTCCATAAATTGTAAAGCGGGGTGATGAATTGTATTTCATGCCAGGGATGTGGGCTACCAAAGTTAATGTGGAGAAAGAAAGTCACACAGCAGAACCAAGAAAATTATGGAGCGAGAGTGTGGAGGGTTTCGGTCACTGGACCGCGAGCCACAAACCCCGAATCACTCCTGCTTCTAAAAAGAATGAGAGAAAATAGAGGAAAGAGAGGAAAGAGAGAAAGATTATTCACCGTCCGAATTCGGTCGGTGCACCTGAATTCCTTCGCTGACCCTCCGCCATTTCTCGTGAAATCCAGGTGCTCCGCCTTGAGCTTATCCACAATCGCAAAAACGCCACACGCCCGGCTTCGGACTCTTCTGCTAACTTGAGGGATTCGTCCTCGATCAGATGCAAAATAGTTTTGAGGCTAACGAATGGACGAAGAAACTTGGCACTGAATCTAGTCGGTTTCCACTCCTCTCAATGCCATTCTTTGACAAGCACAGCTTCAACGCTACCCAGATGTTGGCCATAGCAATGTTTTATATCTCGAATGTATTGAGGCTTGTTCATGAAGTCGGAGCTGAACCAGACAATGTCGCGACGAGGGTTGAAGTAAAACGAGCCCTCGGCGGTGGCGGAGTGCGTAATGAACTGATAATTCCTCGACGTATGCGGTCGTGATTCTCGGCAATCATGAAGAGCTACTGGGACAGATTGCGAGGCTCAACAGGATTTTCTTCGACCACCCAAACGTCAAACTCATTGCCCAGCGTTGTTGAAAGCGTCTTCATACTCCTCGGCCGTCTCGTCTTCGCGGATTGCACCTTCGATCAGGCGAGCTACTGGTCAGGTATATTCCGATATCATGAGACGCAACTCGGTTGACAGGCTCCGAAATTGGGGGAACGTGTCTGGCTGGTGGCTCTGTTTGTTCAATAGATGGGACGAAGACTGGATGAAATCAGCATCTGCGAGGTTTCAAACAGGTTTAGGCCAACCTTGGGGGACAATTCCAAACTCTTGGATCGAGTTTGAAGCTCCGACTGCATTCTTAGGAGAATTGTTCGTCGTAGACAATCCAGCAGCCTCATTGGGTGCCATGCGGCGGACGAGGCTGTAGTTCGGGTACTTTGCGGCAATTCTTGGTCGTTTCCGGTGTGGTTTCAGTCGTGCAGAGAATTTGGCTTGAGGGAGTGTTATAGATTCTGAGGGAAGTTAAACTAGCTGTTTTGAACCCGGCCCCTCAAGATGGCGGCTGTTAGTTTGTTGGTGTGTCGTTGGTTCAATTCCGCCTGGATTCTCCTCAGGTTCACCCCTGAATTTCTCGCTTACGATTTGCCACAGCGCTTCCATGCTGTCAAACCGACTCGCGAAAGCCCGCAACCAATCCAGCGAGCCAACCGCGGTCGCGATGAAATCAAGTTTCAGGTAGAGCGTATCGCAAGTATCTTTGTCGATCGTATGGCGTGTATCCCTGCCTCCCAAAATAGCCCAGCTACACTTTAACTGTCAAAAGTTTCCCTGGTCTTCTTAACTTCTCATCCTCAACAATTATTAATCGGATTCATAACCCATCGCCTTTCGAGGCCATCCTGCAAGCCTGCAAAAAGTGCTATCTAGTGGGTGTTCAGCAATTGGATCAAATATCATGGCAGATCTGAACTGTACCGTCGCGCCCAGGCAGGCGAGCACAGATCCAGGTGTTGCAGGAGCCGGAGTATGTCCCGTTTTTTTGCCGTAGTCTTGATTCAACTAACCCTCACAGACTCTGCTCTCGTTCATCATCACTGCCGGGATTGCACTTCTGATGAGTGGGATAATCGTGCTCCACGAACTTCGATCAAAAGAAGCCAAAGTCATTCGGAAACTCCTCCTCTCCCTTAGCGACCAGCAAGTCATTACTGGAATCGGAATACAATCCGTCGGCCTCGCGAAAATGAGGACGATGGTTCCATATCATTTCTTTATAATCTGGATGCTCTCGCTGCTCTCCACAGCGACTCATATTGGAACCCTCCTGGCCCTGGTCAATGATTTCAAAAGAGATTGGGTCTTGCGATGGTTGCGACAATTCTTCATGTTCGTGAACCTCGTGCTCTCGGTCATCTCTGGAATCTTCATTTTGATGGCAACTATGAAAGATTTGAAGCAAACTCTACCGATTGCTTGTGTGTGGGTGGTATCTTCTACTGGTGCTCCATCAAATGCCGGGATTTCAATCGCGGGAACTATTGCCGTGATTTCAGGGCAGTGTATTTTCTTCGGCGTTGGCGTCTGGTATCTCCATATTAGGGAACGTCGATGGATCACACTGATCCAGATCGTGGGCCTTCTTGTCATGGTGGCGATAGGAGCAACTGCTGCTGTCCGCGTCATACTTCTCTCTCAAGCATTTGGTACACCATCGTTGCCACTCTCAGATACGGGAGAAAAAGATTGGAGTTTTGGGCAGCTGCTTCCTCTTTTGCTTCTTCTATTGCCTCTCGTTTCGGCCGTCGAAATCATGCGTGGTATGTAATTCTGCAAATCAATATCGTGACGAGTTCGTCTAACTCGGTATAGGGGAGATGAAGGTGCCTTCTCCGGTGCCTGATGATAGCATAAATTTGCTCGAGACCAAAGACAAACGAAATTCTTTCGACGTGAACCCTTTCTGGGGCGAGCCGCGGAGTCACTTCAGCAAAGGGTGATCGAATCGCTGAATACAGCTCCATCTGATACATTGTACCAGACATACGTCAGCATCAACTTCGCTCCAAAGACTTCTGGAGGTCCAATGAACAAGGGCCGGAGATATCAGACAAATGAAGTCTGATCTCTATGTACAAGCTCCAAGAGTTCGCGTTGGACTGAGCGGGGAGAAGGTTGTTGAAGACTCACTGTGGGAAGTTGTTACAATTCAAAAGTGAACGGGGACCTGAGGAGGCAGGTCGAGGTGGATCAGCGATAACTTGATGTGTTGGATAGGGTTTCTGTGGGGCGTGGATAAAGTATTGGAGTCCGCAATGAAAAGTCCACCTTGAGGGGGAGGCATATGAGGTGACGAGGCATGACCAAACATAATGTATATTCAAACCCATCATGACTTATGTTGTTGAACCTCTGAACAGTGGAACTTCATTTAGGGCTGAGGTCCAAGCTCGATCATCCAAGAAATCAAGGTTAAACATCATTTCATCTTGGAAGGTCTCTTGGACGTTTGCCACGAAAGGCTCCTGGGAAAGTGCTCCATCAGCTGAATTATATAAGTTAGTTTACACAATTATGTACAGGAATATCTTGCAGCTTACAGGGACCACTTCTTCCTTGGGGTATGGCACCAAATTCCTTTCGCCATGTGCGAATAAAGTCTTGCCTTAAGCTGCTGAGATTCAGTGTTCAGGCCCAAAGCTTCGCTCGAGCAGTTACCCACCTTGCGCCAAATCTCGACTGAACAGTAAGTTGTGGCGGAGATTGACCGGATATAATACTGCTATGCCAAACGCATGATAACATTTTCACGGCTTTCGCAGCCGTGTCGTTGTTCGTGATCGAGGAGCGTTGGATAGCGAGAATGGAGTCGTTGAACACTCTCCTCCCTTTCTCGAAGTCGTCAACTTCTTGAGCATAGCTGGATTTCAGCACTTTGACTAGAATACAAGCAGCAGTGAGGAGACATCGAAAGAGATAATATGGCAGGTAGAAGAGCGTGTCCTGTGAGTGGTCTGGGGGTGTCAAGGCTGAAATGAGGTTGGTCACGGAATCGTAAGCTTTCATGATACCGGCTTTTCGAGAATCATTCGTTGATGTGTCGAAAAAGTAAAATGAATGCAAGTGTATGCGGGCTGCTGCCATGTACATCCAATCTATTTCTTTTATTTGTCAACTCGGGGCCTCATCCGTGTCTCGCGGGGCACTAACATGAGAATTGCATCTTGCTTGCTTCTTCCAGTGTATCCAGCTCACTTTCAAAATGCGCCATATCATTCTGCCACGACATCATTAGGAAGGAGACCTCACCAGGTGGCGGCGACTGCGCAGTGATCGGATCGTACGAGATGGTTGACATGGCGTGCGTGACTCGGTGGCAAACTCTTTGGATCATTAACTTGAACCGGAGAGAATCTGGCAATGTATATAAATTCCCATCTTCACATTACCGATCGATCATCCAGTCGAAGGGAGCATTTGGCAAGTGGCCGGCGACAGCACCAGATCTTTGTTCGTAGGTTTAGCTTGTGACACTTGAGGTGCAGCCAAATTCTGGCAACTCGCGATTGAGACACGATGTTAGCTACAGCCCAAGTCCTTGTAAGCATACCGAAGTCGAGTTCGTTCCCTGCCGTGTTCGTCGTTTCTGTGACAATTCTTAGTGTTGTCGGAAGGCAGGCCAGGTAAACTTACGCTTAAAATCATGCGAATTAAGGGCCCTGTGCAAGCCAACACTCATTGCAGCACTGATTGCAACGGATTCCAGTGTCACGGCGACGTCATTTGTTGACTTCGATGTTGGAAATGGTCATATAGCTAGCAGTAAAACTGCCTGCACCGTAGCTAGACTGTAACATGCCTTGGATATCTCTGCCCACATTAGTTTCATTGTCCAATCGGAGAGGACGGTAAACATTGTAGCTCCATCTCGATATCGACGAGAGGCTACACCAATGATCGCCCAGAAAAGACAGGGGCAAGATTTGTAGTAATTGTCGGGTGATAGTAACGGGTCGAGAAAGGGAAGAAAATGATGATGATTGTCGAAGAATGTATTTGACTTCAGCAGAGATTCTGAGACAGATGGCCGTCTTACAATTGAAAAAGAGTATCGATCTGACCTGGGCTAAGCTGAACTGTTTCGATCATTCATGGCATAATAGCAGACGGCTTGGCAAGTATATGCTCAAAAAAAGTATTTGGAGTTTGACTGGTTTGGGTGGAAGACACGGTGGCAGGAACATTTGTAAGCAAGTGATCTCTTTCAATTTGTGGATCTCGTGGCGCTTGCCAGCCGTTCCCAAACTCTGCGCTGAGTTAGTTCCCAAGAGTGGTGGCGGGAAAAGGAGTGAGAATACTTGTTTGTTGCCTTCTTGTGTTCACTACCGACGCCAAAAGTTGAACTTGCTTTTCGAGCTCGGCGATCTTATTAATGAGACATTCTCCTTATTTTTAAATTATTTTATAATAATACGCAAAAGGGGTTTTAAGGCAAAATAAAGTTTTATAGTTAAGGAATATAGTTTAGCTAGCTTAGAGTCGATATTAACTAATATAAAGAGTATAAGTTTAGGGTTAAAAGGCGTAAGATCGAATATCTAGGCAAAGGAGATAAGGGAGCTAAGAAAGTAATAATTACCCTTTTTACTAAGGGAATATACTAAGCAATGCTAAGCACTGCAAGGGTAACTTTAATAATAGGGGCAATAATATTACAGTTATAGTCGTTAGTTTAGAGGTAAGTTAACTTTAACCTTAATAGACAAGTAATAGAGATTTACTTTATTTGCGAATAGTAAGCTAAATAGAGGACACTAACCATTCCCTTTAGGTGAGAATTGAAGGAATTAGCGTCCGAGGGGTCGGGGATAGTGCACTATTAGAGCTGGGCCGTATATGGTGCGACTCGTATATGGGACTCGAGTTTCTTTGCCTATTTAGCTTTGCGAATAATAGCGCGTATTTGAAAACCCGCTTCGAGTGCAAGAATTAGTGTCTTAAATCCGATGTTCGCGGCAGTAAAGGAGTAAAGAGCGTAGTAATAAAAAGAGATTCATTCTAGGCGATGACCATGTACTGAGAGATTATATAACCATACTCTCTGCAGGACTCGGCAGGGTAGAATATCGGCATACTAATTAATGGGTGACTGGATTGAAGGGATTCCACTTAAAGGCTTTGCGGGTTTACTTTTCGCTTCTCGTGGAGAAGATTACACGCGGATTGACATGAGAATATGTTTGTGGCGAAGGGTTCGGGGATGAGAATAGAATATTTTGATAGAACTGAGACATCCTAGTCCATCGGAACAAAAGCCAAAGATTCATTTCCTGCTCTAGCAATACTTGATTATCGCTTTATAACAGCATATTAACGTTTCTAAAAGGACAGTGAAAGAGCGAGTGTGATCTCTACACTGGCAGAGCCTATCCCAAGTACCTAGCCTCACCTCCGCCTCCAGATTTCCGACTAGTATATGTCCAAAGATGAGATCATTACACCTCCTTAAGTATTCTATTGAGATGTTGAGGCCCCATTATTGAAGCTTACAACGGTATTTCCCGACGTTACCCCTCCATATCCCCTTCTCAGGGAAGAGTTCTCGCCATATCTACTTACTAAAAAGCCCGGGAAACAAAGGCCCATCATCTTTAATAACTGGATCCGCAGGAATCTTACACGCCATGCTCACAAACTCAATATCCCACGAAACCTCCCCATCTGCGAGTTTCTGCAGCCTCTGTAATCCACCCAAGCCCGGCATCTGTCCCGGATTATTATCTTGCGCCTTAGCAAAGAATTTCTGTACCGTCTCCAAATTCATAAATCTAAATACCCCAATAAATGACTTCTTATCCACACCCCACCCATTAGCATTCCCGCTCGAGATAATGCCTCCCTCGCTTTTTAGTATGATCTAGCAAAAGAAGACCCATATACCTTCCTATATCTTCTGCTTAATATATAAGGAAATATACGTATCTAGAATATAAATCTTGGAAAAATCAAAGATAGGGAAGAAATAAAAGGTTACGAATACGGAAATACAGGGGCCGAGTCGGTAAGGATTTCTGGTGGGAGGAAGCGCGAAGGCGTTCTTGCAGCTTTCCGTACCGGATATAAGGGCGAAGAGTAATAGGGAGCTGGATTGGAAGGGGACAGGGCATAATTGCTACTATTTATAGAGATTAGTAAACCACGGAGAGGCAAGGAAGTACTTCCGGTCGTCAGATGATTTCTAATCTAGTAAAGAGTAGTTAGTACTGGGCAGTAAGATAAGGGCAAGGGAAGCGCTTACCGATAATTAGCTTGATTACTTGAGGTAATTCGAATTGAGGCACTTCCACCTGCCGACCCTACTATAGTATCTTTACGATTTCTTGAGTAGAGTATATTTGTATTATTTTTGCCCAGATCTGGCCGACTGGTATTGCTTCATTCCCCAGGTCAACTGGCTGGGCATATTCGAACGTGGTGATTTCTGTAAAAGCGTACTCGTACGGATCTCGCTGTACTGGGTGACCCAGTGGTGTTCCAAACCGAGCAAATATGTTAGACATTACGCAAAGTAGACTTGGTTTGTGCGATAGTTGTAAGTTGTTAGCATGACTTGGATGCTGCGGGTGCACCAGGTGCTTCGTAGGAGCTTAGTCATCCGTGGCTATACTAAGCTTTAGGATCCCCACCTTACTAGGCAGCTGCCGCCAGGAACACTGTTAAGGGAAGTTCCTGTGGGGAGAGAGGACAGCCGGATGAGTTGTGATAAGGTTGCTTGATTGTTTTAAGAGAGAGAAGCTCTCAGACAGTACATATATGCACTAGCTAAAGCTTCACGTGACCACTTTTACCTAAACTTGGTGTTGAACTAGCTAAAGCAATATAGCTAGGGTCACGTGCTTGCAATGTAAACCAAGTAAAACGTACTGAATTGACTGCTGTTCTACAGTGGTAAGTAGCCCGTATATATAGCCCTGAACCCCCTAAGTCACATGCACTAAACCCCTAAACCAGAGAGCCTTATACTGAACCATTCAACCTCAGCTGAACCGATTTACCCTCACAGGGCATATTATGCCCTGTATCAACCTTACAGGGCATAATCTACTTCAGTAATAAGCCTATGGCTTAAGCCCCATTAGTACACAGCCCCTAAGGCTCTGTTCCATTAGTGCACAGCCCCTAAGGCTCTGTTCCAGGGCTTACTAAGCCTATTAGGGGCCTTAGGCCCCTAATTTCAACACTTGGAGCGCGCGATTAACCGTTATTTTATTGAAACCTAAACTCCGCACGACAAATACTATATACAACATGAAAACTATATATTCCAAGAAACGTCATTCTATTATTTCTTGAATCGCTACCAACGCCCTGCATCAAGAAGGCGGTGTGAGGCCCATATTCTTGATGACCAGCTGCCCTGCCAGGTTTGACCGCAGCACTGTGAACTGGGTTTGAGGAGTCGCGGCAGATCCTGAATTCTATAGGTACTCTTCCATCGAAAGGGCCATCGCAAAACTCACCAGGCTGTCGGGATTCGTGGTTGAGTATGTGGATCGAACTTCCTGCATGCCATCCATCCATATCGTTCGCCTCCGGCAGCAACTCCACCAGACGTGTCGCCAACCACTGTCACATCGCTAGCGGAGAGCTAATCTATATTCTAATTCTATCAAGGTGGGTTCTTTTGTATGTGACTTACACTGGCGCTTCTTAGTAAATGAATTCGAGACACGGATACCTAACCAATCTTGATCTTCCTGCGATCCATAAAAAGCGATAGGCAGAGACAAAAGCAGCCGGAGGCTATCGACGTGATGAAAACACGACTGATCGCGTGCACAATAGCTGCTAGGACATCCTGTTGCTGAGTGGGATTAAGTGTTTCCAATAGATCGCTCCCTGCGCCTGAGATTAGACTCTGAACTTGTGCGTTGTCCAGAGCAGGAAACAGATCGCGAACCCTGTTTTCGGCTAAGTTCAGAAAGATGGCGTTTGCGATGGACAGTGTGATGGCAAGTCCTCCTCCTCGAGCACACATAATGAATCCAACGGCGCTCGATATCTCCTCGGGTGGAGCAAGCCATTGTGCAACAGCAAATGGAGCATTTAGAAACATGCCAGTGCCGATTCCGTTGAGAACCATCGCTCCGTAAATAAATCCGTTTGGAGTAGATAGATCGATAGTGTAGAGCATGCTGTTGGCGGCGATCACGAGGGCAGAACCGGTGGCGTACCATGGCATGCTGTATCCTGATCGTGCCATAAGGTGGCCGTTCAACATAGTAAATGTCGCCAGTGAGCCGATGAATGGTAATAAACGTACACCTGCAAGGAGAGAACTGCTATGTTGCACGAACTGAAAGTATAGCGGGATGAAATAGATCGTCACAAAGGACGACGTCCCCGCAGAGGCCCCCACCAAGAACTGTATCAAAAGGCCTCCGTTCTTAAGGAAATGAACCGGAAACATTCTGTTCTGCCAGTTTGACCAAACTTGGTGAATGCATAGCGCGATGAACAGAACGCCCGAGGTGCAGAACAGAGCTATGTCTTGAGCGCTGTTCCACGCAAATGTTGTGCCGCCAAATGAGATGGCCATGAGTCCAGAGACATAAACACCGATGGCGAGAGTGTTTCCCATCCAGTCAACAGCTTTCATTCTGTCCCAGAACTTCACACCCGGTCGGAGATCACGGGACGGAAGCAAGAAGAAATATGCTGGACAAAAGGCGCCTCCAATGCAAATATTGATATAAAAAGCCCATCTCCACGTTGTGGATGCATTGTCGGCAAACGCTCCTCCAATCACAGGTCCTAGGCTGTAGCAAAGATGCCATGGTCAGTAATAAGATTCTATCCGTCCTTGACTCTACGAGAAAGGGCTACGCCACTCACACTGTGCCAAAACCGAATACCACGCCGATGATGCCGATGTACTTAGCTCGTTCAAGAGGTGTAGTAAACAGGGACAGCAACATCATCACTCCCAAGTACATTCCTCCGCCGCCAAGGCCAGCCAGAGCACGCCCGGTAATGAGTGCATTCATGCTAGGCGCCGCCCCGCATACAGTCGAACCGATCTCGAAAATCGCTACGCAAAGCACATAGACCCATTTTGGATTAAATTGACCATATATTCGTCCCCTGGGAATATTAATGATTTGTTTGAAGGAACTTGGCGGTAGAATTAGTGCAAAAGCTTACCAGAACAGATTAGTGCTGGCATTTCCGAGAAGAAATGACACCGATAGCCAAGGCAATTTATCGATTAAACCGAACTCCGCGATGATGTTTGGCTGAACATCAGCGACAATCGTCTGGTCCAGAGCGAACAAGAACACGCTTGATAATATGGCAGTCACTACGACGTGTATTGTTAGCGACCGGATCGAACTTGGAGTTATGGGACCGATAATCCTATCTGAGCTTACCAGCGAACGCCCACTTAATGCCATGTATATCCCGTGGGGGAGGAGCAGATGATGCCGGGGGCAACGGTGGTATGCGATCCAACGACGACTTTACGGATTGGTTCGTGCTCGCTATGTTGTTTGGCGGCCGCTCCTCGTCGGGATAAATCTCTCGGTCTCGAGAGCTTTGTCGAGAATCAATCCAGCCAGTCGTGGCGATTCGAGGCTGCAGTTCGATGTTGGTAATACTGGTTTGCGACATTGTGTTGGATTGGGTTAAGGAAGAAGTTAGAGCGTGAGAGGTGTTATTTGAGAGTACTTTCGCTTACTTGCAATTCCTTTGCCGGCTTTAATCGGCGTTAACCCCTGTGTAACTCCGTTGCACGGGTCGCAATGGGTCTGTACGGCTGCGTAAGCACATAATAGTCCCCGCCTACTAATAAGGAAGAGGAGCCTCTGGGGGCTAGTGCGGGGTCTTCCCCCAGTGATCTTCCCCCCTAACGAGCCTACCGACATAAGTCTATGGTTTTAGGGCATTTCGCTAAGAAACGAACCCCATAACTATTTTGGACACTTTTAATTTATATTCAGAATTGAGTTTAAAGGCCTTCTAAACTCATTCTGGCTTTTGTTATTTTATGTGCTTGAATTATATAAGGTTTTAATCTATAGTTATCGAGAAATCGTGAAGTGAAGTGCGCGACTTCGGTTTTTGCGATGCCTGAAAACATCGCTAAAACTATAGACTTATGTCGGTAGGCTCGTAACGAGCCCAACCCCAGTAGTCTGTGGTGTTCAGGCTCTTTTTAAGGCCACACTTCACCCCGCACCCACCATAATTTCCTGAATACCATCAAAATGACCACTATACCGCCCCCTCTTGATTTTCAGCACCTTCCTGGCTATGAGATCCCTATAAAATACAAGGAAGCGATACGCTAATTGCACTGGTTTGGCTATATACCAGTTTTATTAATTATGGTACAATATCGCCTCGGTAAGACGTTAGTTCGTCGTATCTTAAGTTATAATTACCCTAAATAGTATAGACCAAATCGCACCGGCCCTACCTTTCTTCTCCCAGATATAAAGGTCAACGAAATTATTAATTATCTCTCCGAATTATGGGAGCATTAAATCCTTAAGTATAATGTCCTTTATACTAAGCTTGAGCTTAAATACTCTATTTTAACCCTAGAGTAAAGGCTTAAGTAAAGAGGCTATTTTGGTTATATAATATACCAAAAACCCTATCTTATAAAGGCCCAAGTAATTATATAATATCTCTAGATAATAATATATATATTTTGGTATATAGAGTAGCTAAAGGTACTTTAGTTAAATAAAGTTATCTTTTTAATAAATAAGAGAATTATAAAGGAAAAGGTTACTAGAAAGAAGGAGAAATATTAATATAAGATATATATATAGTACTAGTTTTACTATAATAGTATAGTACCGGTTAATATATAGAAAGTAATTAAATATAGCTATAAGAGCCCTTTACTATTTCTTTACGGATTTAGTAAGAAAGAAGCCTTTATTTAATATAATTATCTCTTTCAAATCCTTGTACTATATATAAAGGGTATTATCTATACTCTTGCCTTAATTACTTATTTCTTTTACCTATTAGTAAAGCTTCTTTTTATAGAAAATAGTAACTTAATTTACAGATATAAGTTTACTAGTAATTATTATATTAAATAATATATAAATTATAGTATTATATTAATATTATATTCTTTTATAAGTCCTAATATAAACTTAATTAAGAAGTACTAGTAGAAAATTAAGTAGTCTCTATATAAATAAAAATATTAACTAATTATAGCCTAGATAAAGCAAATAGTAATTAAAAAATAGAATATAATATTATAAAAATGAATTAATTAATTAGTTCTAAAATACGAGTACTAGATATATATATTTATAGAATATAGGAAATAATTAACTTCTAATTAAATTATAATAGTTAATATAATTATAGTAAGTAAAGTATATCTGAGAGCTTAAATACTATAAACTACTAGAGTTGGGCCTATAAGAACTATTATACCTATTATATTATTAGATAAAAAGAAAAGCTATCTATTAATAATATCTGGCTTTTTTATTCTCTATTTCAATATTAATATTTCAGTTCTATAAGGTTATAATAGGCTACTAAAAAGGTTTTATAATTCAGAATTCAACTTTTAAATAAGATATATACTAGCTCTAATAGAGATATATCTTAAATTTTAGTTAAATCCTTAAATCAAGATATATAGCTCTAATAATTAAAATATATTAAGCTTTCTATTTAGCTTAATATTAGTAATATTTAATAAAGTACTAATAGAGCAGAAAAATGCATTCTAATTTAGCTTTTAAAATCTTTTATTTATTCTAATTACGTTTTTATAGCTATATTTCTTTTATAATTATAATATTAGTAATTTTTAAATATTTATAAAAATTAAAGAGGTTTTTTATATTTAATTCGCGTTCTAGTTCTTATATAAATAAAAATATTAAAGAAGATATTATATTATAAATATATTAAATTAGTTATTTAAATTTAAAATTTGAATAAAATTTAGTTAAAGCTTAATTAAATATTAGTTAAAACTAGATTTAAAATAACTAATAAACTTAAAAGCTTTTAAATTATAAATATAAATTAGTTAAATAATTAGTTAAGCTTTATTTAATTAAGAATACTAAAGTAATTTAAAAGTTATTATAGTAAGAATTACTAATTTGGGACTAGTATAATTGCTTTACTTAATTAGAATCTATATATTTATTTTCTAAAGCTTTATATTTTATTTAAGCTCTTTTCTAACTAGTTTAATTAACTCTTTTATTATTTAATATAATTTCCTACTTTATAATCTTTATATATATTAGGTTATAAGCCTGGTTTTATATTAATAAGCTTTCTAATTAATATATTATAAAGAGTATTTAAGAGTTTATTTAATTATTTCTTTAAAAATTATACTTTAGTTTATATTTCTATTATTAACTAATTAATAGTAACTATTTCTATAATTCTTCTTATTTCTATAAGCTTAATTACAATTATATTAGAAGCTATAATTAAGATTATTATTTTAAAAAACTATAGTTTTTAGATAAACTAGTTTAATACTTTTTATAAAGTAATAAATAATAAAGGCATCTAAAATAAAATTAATTCATTTAATAATAAAATAATTAAAACGAATATATTAGCTTTTTCTAGGCCTCTTTCTATAATTAATAAGCTTATATTAAAGGAAATAAAGAATTATTATATTAGATATTAGATTAAAGCAAAGAATAAAAATAAAAATACTCGATTTATAACTAAAAAGAATTAAAACTAGAATCTTTATAGCCTATAATATTCGGGAATATTAAAAACTATTATTTAATACTTTTATAAAACTATAAAATTAAGAAACTAAATTAGATAAATAAGCTAATATATTACTATATAATTAGATAATAGCTTTATTAAACTATTAATACCAAAATTTCTATAAACTCTATATTAGAACTTAAAAAAAGCAAATAAAGCTCTATTTATAAGGTTCTTAAAGCTTTATTAATAAAATATAGTTCTATAAATATAATACAAATTATTACTATTTAAAAAGTATATAGCTCGGTTTTACTATAAGTAAATAAAGAAGAAATAAGTTTAAAATACTAATTTACTAATTAGAAAAAGGCATCTAATTAAACTAGAGCTTTTAAAATTACTAAAATTAAAAATATTCTAGTAATAATCGAGTTTTTAATAGCCTTTTAATAAAAACTTATATTAATCTAGATAATAGAATAATATAATATAGCAAGCCGTACTTTATAAAAATTATATTATTTTAGTAATTTTAAGGTTTTAGTTATATAATAAAAGCTATAGCCTTTTATATATAACTTATAGAAATTATATAAAAAAACCAGTTTTTTTATAATTCTAGAAAATAATTCCGTTTTTAATATTTAATTAATTAAGCTTTTATATATTATATATTATTTATATTTTATTATTTATACTTTTAATCTTATTATTTTATTATTAAATTACGTTTTATATTCTAGTATACTTTATATAGGTTTTTATTTTATTATAATTTTTGTTTTATATATTTTATAATAAGTAATATAAGAAAAATCAAAACTTTATAATTAAGGTAATACTTTTATAAAGTTCTAAAGGGTTTTTATAAGGCGGATTATTAGCTTAATAAGTTTAAAAAGAAAAGAGCTATTATAATACTTTAAGCCTAAAGCTAAAATATTAAAGATATATAAATATTAATCTTAATATCTTATATTAATTTCCGATATATCTAGTAATTTAGATACGGATTAGCTATAAAATATAATTACTAGTATAATATATAAAAGTAATAAAAATAGAAACTAATTATAGAAAAAAAAGAAATAAAGGAAATAGAATAAGAAATATTATATTAAGATAATATAAATTAGACTTTAATTAGAAATAGACTTTAATATTCGGAAATAAAGTTATATTATTAATTTATATATTATTTTTAGTTATAATAAAAACCGAAATAAAGGTAATATTAGTTTTAGTAAAAAAGCTTATTTCTAAGTCCGGAAAAGATATCTAAAAAAGAAAATATTCTTAATTTCAAATAAAATAGTAAATAGAAATTAGAAATAAGAATTAAAAAGAAATTAGAAATAAGAAATTATATAAATAATCTAGAGAAGATTTTAGGGAAAAAAAATACTAAATAAAGATAAAAAAGAAAATTTAGAAAAGTCAAAGAAATTAATAAAATTAGTAAAATTATTTTTATTATTACTTTTAATAATATTATTAAATATATCTAGTTTAGTAAAATTAAAGAAAAATACTATAGGTAATAAGTTAATAAAATGGAAAAGAAAATATAAGTAATAGAAATAAAACTAGAAAAGCTATTATCTTATTAATATTAATATTAAAACTCGAATTTAGATTATATTTATTATTATTAATTAGTTTCTTTCAAGTTCCGGTTCCTAAATTAAAAGATATATTTAAATAGGAAATTAGCTCTTTAGGAACTTTATTAATAGAAGTTTCAAATATAGAAACTTTATAATTAATTATAAAGGAAATTATTAAAATTAATATAACTAAAATAAGTATATATTAATACCGGATTTAAATCTACTATTTATAAAAGCTCTCGAAATATTATAGTTTTAGAAAAGTAATATCTCTATATTTTTAAAATAATATATAAATATATATGAAAACTATTATATTTCTA